CGCCGCCGTCAAACGTTGAGAAAAAGCAACGGTTCCAGCTCGATCAAGTGGATCAGCCAGGAGTAGTAGTTTTTAGTGAAAGAAATGATCTCCATCACTTCACTAAACATAACCATGAGCAATGACGAGGAACTGCATCCCAAACCCCATGATAAACAAGGAACGGATACATCCAACAAAACTTTTAACCCAAAAGATTCATTACTAACATAGGAAAAATTTGGTAAGATCCTTCCATTACATTGTTTTATGATTCTTCAATATTGTACAGATATTTACACATTACACACAACTACACATAGTAACTCGGAGCGTTTGATACGGTATGTCCACGCATCCTTCCACCCCTGTAGATTCAAGAAATGTTCTAATTCATTTCCAAGAATCATCTTTGCGGCAAATACAACGCAGTAGGCCTGGCCGTATTGATGTTTATATCATATCTCAGATATGCTGTAAACATCAATTAGACAAGAAAAAATGATTAGACCTCATCTAACCTAATCATTTTCCATGATTCTTTCTCGTACGTACTAGATTAGATTAGATTAGTTTAGTAGTTTGTGAGCTCTCTATATTTGGCAAAATATGGTTTGTTTACATTTTAGCTCTTCCGCCCCTTTCAAATGTTAGTCTAGAAACATGTTCGAGCAGTTTTGAAATCTTTTTACCAGTGGTTTTAAAGAAAATTGGGCTGTGCTTTTTGGGCCTTTCATAAACTAAACCATCATTTCTTGAAGATCTAGAAGAAAAAATCTCATAATATTGCTCCATGATAAAGTTCGACTGGTCCCGAGCAAAGTCGGTTAACAAAATGAAAGCAAATTCATATTAAAGTTTGCAGTTCCTATCCTAATGAAAACTCATTTTGATTTCAATTGTCGCGACATAAGTCTGATATCATATTGTGCTGTCATTATGCAGTCAAAACTTTTTAAATGAAAGCAACTTAACTTGAAGTTTTGCTGTTAACGTCTTGTTTAAAATTTAAATTAAATTCATCTGTCGTTGAACTAATGATTATTGTTTATTTGTTTTGTTTAACACATTTTAGGTCATTCATGACTTGCCCGGGGTGAGATTTGAGCTCAACTCTTTCAGCGTGAGAAGCATGGATACTAACCATTTACGCCACGCTCGTATTCGGTTAAACATTATGAATGCACAATCAGTAATCAAATTGATTTCATTGAAAGCAAGATTAGTTTTTCGTTTGATTCAACAGTGTAAAATTTTGCTCTCATTTGGCTGTGTTAACCGTTAAGGGCCTGTTCATAAACTACGTAGACATTTTTTTTTGGGATTATTGACCCCCCCCCCCTCCCCCTGCGTAGACAATTGTCCATACAAATGTTTTTAAATTTGTATGGGCCGTTGATAATTGTCAACCCCCCCTAAACGGTCTACGTAGTTTATGAACAGCCCCTAAGTAAATCAAAATAAGATCAACTGGAGTATTCAAAATAAGTTTCATCATAACAGCAAATTTTGATTTCAATTTGATCTCCAGCTTTGCTCGGGAGGAAACGTCATTTTTAAACTGTTCGACATTTGTGCTGTCACATGTTGGTAACGACTGATAGTTCAAATTTTGTCGAGTCGGTAGCCAAGCCGTTTTAGCTGGATAAAACTGATTGATTTCTCCGCTTACACATTGTTCCCTAAGCTTTCACAAACTACAAACAAACAAACAATGTTGTAATTATACAGTATTAGTTTAGACCTTAAAATATTCAGCAAAATTTTTTAAAAGTAGCCCTTTAAGAAGCTTTCTACCTAATACCGCGTTATCCTAAAGTTGTGCACATGCATGCTTATGTGTTCCTTTATTTATTTATTATAATAATGAGTATAAAGATTGGAACATAATGCATATATACAAAATGTTATCTCTTAACGGTTGCTCATTTGATGAACGTTGGAGGCGTTCTAAAACATGTTTTGCTGTGTAAGCTAACTTATGAATTCTGTATTCATAAGTCAAACTTAATGCATCCATTTGTCGGAAAATTAATAACTGGTTCGTATGACATACTTAGGTGCCTTTCCCTCAGTGTATAACATCATTCATCTAAGAAAGATTTAGAACAAATTTCAATAATTCACTTAGCATTTCTCAATCCATGGGTCGCCACTCACCAGTGGGTCACGAACTGTCCGTAAGTAAGCCACAGTAAATTTCAAAATTTTAAGGACGTTTTTTATGTATTCAAAATTGTGTTCGTATAACCAAAATTGAGCCTAAATAAGAATCTTGAATTTCAAATTAAAAAGTTGTTGAAAATTGAAACAAATTTTCAAATTGATCGAATTTTGTTATAATAGATCATATGTGATCATGATCATGAAGTGCTTTTGGAGATGGTTAAGTGTTACGTTTTGATTCCATGAAATATTCATTATTATTTTTAGTGTTTCAAACTCATTTAGCAATTTCAATAGTAGTTTTGTCTGTTGCGGCATTCATAGGGCGTTTAGTTTATAGCAATTTTGATGTTTCTTAGTTAAATTTTAGGCGTTTTAGAGCCATTTTTTGCCATTCTTTGTCATTTTGTTATTTATAGAACGTTTGGGATCATAACACTACCCTATTTTTAAAATTGATTTAGTAGGTTATCATTAAATAAATTGTTCATCCTTTACATTTTGGTCGATACTTGTTATTTATTTTTTGCTCGACCTATTTGAGTGATGTCGGACGTAAAATGAAAATAGTATTTGCCTCAGCCTAATATAATGTTTTGGCAATTCAGACGATTTGATAGATTGTTTTGGTTTTTTCACACCTTTTTTGTGTTTGATTAGTGTTCTGAAAAGCATCTTGGTTTTGTGGTTGTTTTGACGATTATAACCTATTTCGAAATTTTAGGCTTAAAACATCATTTATGGAATTTTTCAAGGCGGGTCGAAATCAACGGAAGCTTGAGAACCGCTGCGACAACCTCAATTCGCTTATACGATACTCACATAAATCACGTTATAGAAGCTCAATGGAACCCACAAATCTTCCATTTGAACAGCATCAAAATACATTTTCATATTTTTATTTAGGGGGAGGAGGGGCATAGTGAGCATCCCGTAGTTTGGCCCTGGATCTCTAGCTGCACCAACCAATTTGTTCCGAACGGCCGGAAGTACAAGCTGGTGCACGGGATGCTCACTATGCCCCTCTTACCCCTAGTGGCCGAAATTACCTGGCATTTAAGCATATACGGGGGGTAAAGTTTGTATGGCGGATCACAACCCTCTGCTCTTTCGATCTGTATTGAGGTCTCCAACAACTGTGCCAATTTTTAACGAATTTGGTTACGATCTGGATTTGCGGGAGAAACGATGTGTCAAATCCCTTGATCCATTCCACATATTTCCACAGTAGCCTGCCGTGTAAATGTAAAGTGACGTAAACGTTCAGTATCAGTGCATCACACCCCTATTGATGCGAACAATGAGGATGGCAATTAGGGTTATAGTTATCGATTGAAATTAAATTGCGGTGCAAATTTACCTACGTATAATGGCTGGACAGAAACAAGCATATCCTGAACAATTTTGATTTTGGCGCTTATGTCTCATTGCTGTCACACGGCAGCAGTAAATACCGGCACAAACGTTCAACAAGGTACATACTGAAAATATAAATATACTTCCTACTATAATCGATTAAGCCAGTGATTGACAGCAATGAGAATACATAGTCTCTCAGCTTATGTCTAGACGTTATCACAATTGTTAGGGTCAATGAAAAATCGGCCGCGCGCGAGAAAGGGGGCACGACTCTAGCGCGATTACACTTCCATGAATACACATGTACAGAGCTTCCAAGAGCAATCCACTAGCAGCCACGTGTGATTGATCATAATGAAACTAGCTCTCTCTTTCTCTCTGAACATGTTTACTTGCATACAGACTTCACCTGATGTTGATGTTGTTAGATTCAAAACTATTAACTAACATCAAATTCAAATTGCCTGGTTCCTCTTGGTTCCTCTCTACTACCGTACTCAATTTGGCATGAGGTAAACATTCACATCATTGATAATAATATCACACATTGTATGCATTAACGATGAGTCACCGTGCGCGCGTGGTTACTAGTGTAAAGTTAAGAATAAATAAAACTGTTTAATGCATAACATCATAGATCATTAGAAATAATGACCAGTTTTTTGTATCTGTCTTCCACTATCCTATCCTATCGATATGCAAAATATCAACCTAACCTCACTTTTTTGCAGCAATCCCTCCTGTATATCTTGAACTTTCGTGACTCATTGTTAATTGCTAATGAGAAAAATACAATTTAATAAAAACAAAAAAATCAATCGGTAGGTAAACCAAATGCAAGAGCAGCAAAAACATCAACGTCACAATTCTGCAACTAGGTTACTGACACATGTACAAAATACCTTTTCCTTTCACTTTTCCGCTGCAAAAGGTAAGCTCGTTTAGATTTTTCCAAACTCTTACAAAACTTACGATTTCCGTCAAGCCTTCTCAAAACATAACGTAACGGCAACTTTCAAGCCATCAGATGAGGTAAGCAAACTGTTCTAGAGAAATCCACTCCTGCTAGAAACTTTTTTTTTCCCTACACGTGAAAATCAATACTGCACATTGAGGTAGCCATCCGCCACCTTCGCCGCGTATCTGCAACAGCCCAGCTGCTTTACCGCAACCCGCACTTTACCCACTAACCGTTACATAATTCCTATCAGTGGAAAAACGGGAGCAGCCTCTCCCAGGCGCTTCCAAGGTCAGGGTTTTTTGCGTCTACTGCAGCAGTGGAACCACAGCCAAATCTACATCATATTCAGGCGACAATGAACCGAACAAATTTCACTGTTTTTAATTTGCAACCGCTCACTCACTCAGTAGAAATCGCACTTTGAAAATTGACCGTCCGGAAAGGGCAGCGAAATTGGGTCTATGTTGCACAAGTAGCTGCTGCACACGGTTGCACCACCAGATTGGTTCAAGAGTGAAAAAAAACCTATTTTTACCTCGAGATCAACACAAGCACCTCGCACTTCAATGACGACTGACTAATGAATGGAATGGATAGGAGAAGAAGCTTGTGCAAGCGCGTAGACTGACAGGACTAAAAAAAAACGCAAAACTCGACGGACAGCGAAGGAGGCTAGCAAACAGAATGTCAAAAATATCGACCGTCTGCGCACCGAGGGGCCCCGCATGCAATGAATTGATTACTGAGGTTGGCAATCTGCTAAGTTGTGTGAGTGAAACCCCTGTACACTATACAAGCAATCAGTATCGTCACTAATAATTAGTGACAATTATTGTGTTTACGTTGATATTTTGGATTACGAATCAGTACAGAGAGAGATGAAGCAGATCGTGAAATATTGCTAACAATATTTCACGATCTGCTTCACCTCTCTCTGTACTCATTGCCACGCACGGGCTCCACAGCATTGGGCGATATGTAAGCAAAACTACACGGTTAGAAAAAAAAGCAACAAAAATTAAGTTCTTTTCACTCATCTCGGCACTATAGTGCAGGAACCCAAAAGTAGGTAAAGCGGGTCAAAGTTATTTTCATTTACTTGTGTGCAGTTCGTATGGAATTTTCCACTAGCTTTTTAACCAAAAGTAAGTTAGTTGTACCCGACAGTAGGTAAATATTATTATACCCAACGTTGGTTTCTCACGCTTTACTACCCCTGTTGGGTGGTTTTGCTCTTTCTTTTTTGACAACATTAGACGGAGAAAATGAGACAAACTAGTCAAAAGTAGGTAAAAGTGAACTGGCCGTTGGGGGCTTTTTTCTTACCGTGTAGAAATACTCAGAGGGAGAGATGGGCGGAGAGAATGTTTTGAGCCAAATGAACTGTCAAAATCTGAGCCAATCGAACATCCTCATAAGAATTTTTCCGAGTATTTCTTATTCTTACTAGATTAAGTTTGAGAGTATTGCAATCGAACAGAAATTCAATCACCTTTATGTTTCGTGTGCTTCTCAAATTGGGTTGTTTAACTTCGAAAAATATACGAATTTTTATACATCATCTGATAGAGCTTCGTTTTCTGAGAACAACGATATTTTTATCGGTCCCGTAGACATTCATCTCGATTGTTAAATCAAGATATAAATTTTTGATCGTTGACACTAAATATATTTGTTGACAGCTTGCTCCCATAGAGATGAGTGACGTTTAAAGCACGCACACTAGCAGAAGCAACGTCGTGTAAAGTTGTAGCTGTACACGGATAGAAATATCCTTATACCTTTTGGCGAATTTCTATTGCTAATTATTCATAAAATGTATAAGTCAACTAATAAACAGACGCCTTGCTAAAATTTAATGAAGATCATGTGTCAAATGAAATGTATAAGCGGTAACACATACCTTTTATGCATTCTTATCGGAGCTATGTGGTTTGTCTTATGGAATGTATAAGGCTGATGTTTTGGCAAAAATCTATAAGTGAAAAACATGAATAAAATAATTGATTTTCGTTTCGTGTAGTAAATCAAATCAAAAATAAAAGTCATGTGAAATGCTAGCTTCTAGCAAGTGTTGCAAGATAATTTAGGTACAAACCCCTGCCGCCGAATTGTATTTTGTACGCTCACGAGTCATAAAATCGCTTATTGTGATTCTCTGAATGCAAAATTGACAGGTTTTATGTGTTAAATATATACTTTTAAACCTCATCTTTTAGTTTACAAGTACAAAATATATTTATAGCGTTCAATGATTCCATAATTTCAAAAACCATGCTTTATAGCGAAGTGAGTGCAAGCAAGCCTGTCCAGAGGCCAGTTGACTTTTACCTTCTTTGGACTAGTTTATCTCTTTTTCTCCTTACTATTACCATAGAGGTAACTCTAAGACCACTGGGTCCCGAAGAAAATCATTATTATTTTTGGCTCACTCAGTACCAGAACAACGGTCCCAAGCAGTCCCAAGCTATTTCACTCACCCCTGCATGTTCTGCATGAATCCACACACCCCTGATGTTATCTGTCAAACTTTCATAGCGAATCAAAACAAACATAGTGTAGTAATAGAATTTCAACTAGAATAGGGTACGTTAATCGTTTGCTTGGGACCAATAGGCTACTAAAGTGGTGAGCCAATTTAAAATCGTAAGTTTCGTATTGATTGTTGCTATTACATTTGATTTGATTTCTATTTATAATCAGTGAGTAACTAAAGAACAACAAGTATCCTATTCCTTCTAGTAGTGATCACAACACTTCTAATGTTGTGAAAAACGAAGGAGCAAAACCACCCAACAGCGAAGTGTCGGAACCCAACGTTGAGTATAATCATATTCACCTACTTTTGGGTACAACTAAATTAGCTTTGCGTAGAAAGTGAGTGGAAAATTCCATACGAATTGCACATGATCCGCTTTGACTACTTTTTTCTAGCAGAACACTGTCCCCTAGGACAGAGGAGCCAACCGCAAAAAACGGCTCCATAACATCAGCCGTCACGAGCAGGGCCAGAGCCTTGAACTACCGGTAGTGGAAAAGAAGCATATCGATCTGGCCGATCAAAGAGACATGCAACACAAACCTCAATTGAGCTACTTCAAGACTTATAAATTTCAGAAAATATGTTAAGGTTTGAAATCATCTGCCGATTAAACAGAAGACGAAGTCAGCCGAGTAAATCCATCGACGAAAAACTATTAAATAGGCCGATTGCTCGGTGTATCACCAGACGAAAAATGATTTAATCTGCTGATTAATACACCAACTGAAATTAATTACAAGTGGCAATAGATTTAGTCGGATGATGAATCGGGTGATTTGGTTGATGTTTGTTTATTTGGAAGATATTTTCGAAACAAAGCACTTTAAAATTCAGCATTTCATACCATTATTAAGAGCACTACTTTTTGCTCGGATCATGTTTTGACTTCCACAGAAACTCGCTAGAATAAATAAAAAATAATAGTTTTCGGTCGCAATTTCAAAAATGTATTCCTTTTGACACATTATTTCGGAGTTATCACCGCTGCGATTGCAGCGCCTCAGTGGCCGATTCAAACTTGGATTTAACAATAGCAAGCGTGATAGGATTCCCGACATTTTGAACGGAATGAGGGAACATGATACTGTTGTTATAGTTAAACAATTAAATTTTTAATTGATGCATGCACACTAAGATTATTTTACCGAAATCTGTGAAATTTTACCGAAATCTCAACAGCTGAACGTTCGGTAAACAGTTCGGTGATTTTTCACAGATTTCATGTGATTTTTCAAAGATATTTGGTGAAAAATCTTAGTGTGCGAACAGATGTACACAAATTTCAATACACCATATACTAGACTGTGATTGCCAGCCGATAAGAAGGTCATCAACAGCAGCCGTGGACCCAAGGATTAGCTACCAACAACGAAATCAGCACATCCTAGATGGTATGGGATCGAAATTAGTAATTGGGTTCTTTAAAGGTATTGAGGTAAATGCATATTCGTAATCTGCATTAAAAATGGATCCTAAACCCAAAAACACTGGAACTTTTTTAAATAAGTACGATTATATTTGCAAAAATCACCTTATTAGCACCCCTCGGTGTCACTTTGCATATGGGAGCGAGCTGTCAGTTTGTTAGTTTAGTATCAAACAGTGAAGCGATTATTTTGCTTTAAATCTCGATTTTAAAATCGAGATGAAAGTGAGTGGGTTCGAAAAAATTATCGCTGTGCTCAGAAAACGAAGCTCTTTCAGATGATATATAAAAACCAATACATTTTTCAAAATTAGAGAACCCAATTAGGTTGTTTAATTTCGAAAATCATATCTTCTGAACGAGCTTTGTTTTCTGAGCACAACGACACGTAATCAATCCCATAGAAATTCAACACATAAAAAAAAAATAATTTTTAAATTTATGGCACTAAATCCACAGACACACAGACATAACACATTGAATATTTCTCACTGTAAAACATCGTCAATAAAGCATTACCGCCATCTGTTGAGTACACTGTGGTGGGTAGTACGCTGAACAGATGGCGGTAGTGTGTAAACGTCAAACGCAAGGGAATTGACTATGTGCGCCACAGGTGGCGGTACTACCAACTACGATACTTTTAAATTGTCCGTTAAATGCTTGTTCGATGAACAACTTGCGAGTGTTATGTCTGTTTGCCTGTGCTAAATCTATTGGTTGACAGATCGCTCCCATACAAAGTACCATCGAGGTGCGCTAAGATTTCTAATGTAAACGTACTTATTTAAAATAGTTCTAGTGCACCAAAATTGATGAAATTTTGCATTTCGGTTCCATTGTTCATGCAGATTACGAATATTTATTTTTCTCAATACTCCTAAAAAACCCAATTATACAGATAAAGGGGGGGGGATAATCGTTTGAGGGTTCTCCAACCCACCGCCAGAGACTATTGACAATTGGTAATTAAAAGTTGGCCCCGGTGAAAATATAAGATCTGTGAAAGTGATGATGGTTTAAAAATTTTGTCCGGTGAGGTCCTAGTATAATTTTAAAATGCATGTGTTTTGTAAACGAATTATTTTAATAAAATCATGTTATTGCTACGTTAATAGAAAACTTAAGGGCTACACCCAACCGGGGGATGTAAGATTTGCTTACAATTATGTGGGATTCATCATCAGAGGATGTTAGTGGAGACCGCATGAACAGAGGATGCGATATACCGAGCTGCAGTCCAATGCAAGAAAATGGAGAAAGAAAAATGTGGATAGTGTTAGTGAGTGAAATTAATCGTGTCAATAAAAAATGCGGACTGGAGGACTCGAACCACGAACGTTGCGGTTTTCAGACCTGTGCTTTATCCACTGCTCTCTCCAAGCTTCGGGATTGGCTAAAAGTAAACTAGAAGCCTCATTTCATCGCATGCTCGACTCCGTTTGTTTTTCTGCTGGAGAGAATCGAGGCAAGTGTGTGCGTCCTTCTAACATGTTATACATAAAAATCAAGGCAAATGCTTGCTTGTGTAGGTGAAAGCATATACAGAACACGGAATAAAAAAAAAAATAAAAATCATTACATCGTCTGCAGGGTCAACTTCTAACATTCGCTGCGATGTTCATAAACAGAGGATGATAGGAAATGGAATTTACATTCATTGTAATAAATTTTTGGTTTGCGTGTACTCATTTCATATAACATATAATATAGAATTTTCCCAGAAATACATTATTTTCTCTACAACTTTGTCTCTGACGTCAATTCGATTAGAAATGCCGTTTCCGTGCTACAACTTTTTGAAAAATTGTAAGGGCGACATTTTGAAAAAAATAATACAAGATCCAAAATGGTCAAATTTTGCAAAAATGTGAATTATTGTCTATAACATACAATTGCGCAAAGTTTCATGCAAATTGGAGAAGGAGGATTAAAAAATACATACATCATCTGTGTCGGTTATTTTTTATTTTGTCGTTATTTTGCCGTGTTTCAGCTAAGCCTATATTGATGACATTTTTAATTGTCGATAATTATTATAACATATTATAACTCTGTAGTCTGAACGTGGTATAATGCTATGTTTGCAATACAGTGTTATAAAATGTTACAAGTGTGTTTTTATAATTTTCGACAAGAAAAGCGTCATCGAGATCGCCTTGTAACATATTATAACTCCGTAGTGTTAACACAGCATAATGTATAATGCTACACCCAACCGGGAAATGAATGATTCTATTACAGATTTGTCTAAAAAGTATGCAGAATTTGCAATGTCTCCCGACATGAACAGATTCTGTAATGTGGTCAATGGAAGGTATTTTTAATAATTTTGTAGTTTTTGTGTTAGCTTAATTTTCGAACAAAGTTTGTTTCCACAAATGCATTGCGTCTAAAAATTCATCTCGTGATGGTTTTATACAAAAATCTACATTCTAGAAAAACTTGCTTGTACGCTGCAGTCCATTGCAAGAACTGCCATTACATTTGCTGTATGAAACATTTGCAGAGGATGTAATAAATCCAACCTTGCATTGGATGTAAGAAAAATTTGATTTGCGTGTATGTTCAGGCTACGGAGTTATAACATATGACAGGGATAGATGACGTTTTTTTGTCGATAATTATTATAACACCCATGTAACATGTTATAACCGTTCGTTTGTGTTATAACGCTGTAGTCTGAACAAGACATAAGATGTCTCTTTATAATTGCTGATGGTCCAAACCAATTGAACTTTTTCATTCGGCGTGGCCTCTACTTTTTTCGTGCTTCGCTTTCATGTTTTATACAGTCTGCATCTTACAATCGTTTGCTGATAGCATCCATGCATAATATAGTAACGATACTACGATGAGCGGGTCAGTTCTGTTTTGCTTTTGCAAATCATGCATTCGTGTTCAATGCAATGTGCTTCAGAGGGTATGCAGGTACCTACTAACTGTCATCGTCATTCAAAGTTACAGTAAGATAAGTGGTAAAGATTTATGAATGAACAGGATCCGTGACTTGTGTGTAGAGTAGAGATGATATTTGTTTTCTGGTATCTTCTATCGAAGTCCAATGACCGCCGATGAGCTTAGATTATTTGGTTAAGCCGGGCTTAGGTTATTAAATGCTGCGATCAACTCACTTCAACTGCAAAATTAACGTCTAGAAAGCTGGTTAATGTCAGACTATAATAAACGTTCTACACTTCCAGATATACCTACGCCCCTTTACAATCCAGAATGACGATAATACCGATACAACAGATATCATCATTTCCAAACCTTTCCGAAACGCTTTCAAGTTGAGTCCTACGACGTGGTCAGTTTTTACGTATAGTCGAGTCGCGTAGCTGCGTATTTACTTATGCCGAACTGAAACTCGTCGTCTCACTTAAAGTGCATTGCATTCGCCACCTCTCCATCGAACCGAACCGAAAAAAAAGTGGTAGATAGGTATTATAGCAATGAAGGAAAAACAGTGCGTGAAACGACTGCATCGCGCTCGACCCGCTCATAACCGATCGCGTTGTGTTGCGAGCTGGGTGTCCGCTAAGATCAGAGTGCACGCGTGTTGTATTGATCATTCAAAAAACAAATATAAGCAAATCACGCTGCTGGTGCCGCTGCTGCGCCGTGTAGTGAATGAGAAGTTCAAGTTCAGCTCGAAAATCTCTTAACAGCGACCGTAAGGGTGTGGTGAAAATTTCGATAGCCGATATCAGTTGAGGCATAAAGTCTGAACGTTGCAGCTAAAGATGGTGTCGTCAGTTCAAATTTTTATGAGTTTCTGCGTTTCACTCGTGCTATCGTCGGAATCGCTAGTGCAGGCGCAGATGACCAAAGTGAGTTGGAATGTTCGATACGTTAGTTATTTGGAAGTGTTTACCGATATGGTTCACGAAAAATGTGTCGCAAATAGGTTGACTGGGTGATTGGTAAATTGAGGAAAATAAAAATAAAAACAGTTACGTTCCTACTATGTATTCGGTTGTGTTAAAACGATGGAACCATCAAGATCAGTTGCAGCACGTGAAGCTATTTCTAATTTTAATTAAAAGAAACTTACAAATTCAATACATCTATACCGTTTGAAACAATCATGTAAAATTCTGCGATATATATATCGCACACGTTCGCTAGATTTGGCGTAACTTTACACGAAATTTCATGAAAATGTAAGCGCAAAATCGCAAAAGTTAGCAATTTTGATTTTTGTTTCTATGTAGATCCTCCTTGCATTGGAATCGTTGAAATATAAACACAACACCTTGAGCATTTTAATTGTCAACAAACCTTCTGTTGACTACTAGGATGACTAATATAATCGGAATCGGAAGCCTAATTGGTAGCGTTGTTTCACCATACGTGCTGTGCTGATAGGATTTGAATGTCCCCATTGCCGTTCATTGAAGCTAATATCGCATTTGTTTTTTATTTAAGTATCAAGATTGGGTCTGCCTGTTTTCTGACAAACGTCAGTTTGTTCGTTTGTTTTTAAAAACTACCTCTGGTCGAGGTTCGCACTGACAAAAAGTTCGGTCTCGCAAGGGTAAAAAACAAATTCGCTATAAGTTTGAGGTGCGACAGTGGTAGACTCACGTTTCAAACCATATTGAGTAATCCGATTAATCTGTGTTTAAGAATCATCGCTTTAAATTGTTGTTGATGATTTCATTATTTGATATTCATATGATAATCAATTTTGTCTAATGCCAGCTTGGTGTTTTTCGGATAACTGTCACAGTTATTGACTGAGGGATTTATGTAGCTATGGTTAGTGGATCTAACTTCAGTTTTTGCTTATATCTTGGGCTTACCGTTATAAACTCAGGCTTGAAGCATATTTTGCTTAAATTGTCTACACACTTAAAAACAAAAGATTGTATAACCTTGCTTAGCCTTTTAACAAGTAAACTTACACTTTTCGCGTATTATCGTTTAGCGCCGCTAAATTTTGGCTTAGCGATGCCCACTACTGGGAATTTTATAAAAATTGTTTTGTAATTTGTTTTACATCATAATTCCTGTTTTTTTATTATCTGGACTAGCATAACGATCATCTTTTCCTAACTAAACTAAAGTTAGTTTTTCGCACTCAAAGGCGTGCGCAAAATACTTTTTCGCTTGTTGCTAAGTATAGCCTTGTCGACCGAGAGATTGAAAAACTGAGACAGTACTATTTCATTTTTTTTACTACTTGATCAGAAAGTTTTAATCATAAGCATGGACATTCATATGTAGTTATGCCGTGGATAAACTTGTATGACAAACTATGAACATGCGCATTATTTGTATAATAAATCTCATGCTCATCCATGGTCACACTTGTATAGTTTTTGCATAGTGCTCATAATTATTATACAAATAATGCTTATGCTCACAGTTTGTCATTCAAGTCTATATGGGGCATTTATCTTGAAACTGCGTTCTATACAGATAGAAATAATTAAAAAACAAAAGATATTTTTCAAAATAGCAAAAAAAAATTGTATGCAACTTGTTGCAAAACTCCATTTTTTCAGCATTCGTCGTATCGCTATCTAATATCGAATTCGTTTATTATCGGGGTTGGAACCAGTTCCAACTCAGTGCGAAACCGAACTTTTTGTCAGTGCGAACCTCAACCTGAGCTGGGTTTTAAAAACAAACGATCAAACCGAGGGGGGCGACACATCTAAATTTCAATTATAGATGCTCAAAAAATCTCACACTAGCCAATAAATCTTCGAAAAATCTTCTTTCATTTGTCGCATCTACTTGCATCGCGCATCATCTTTTTGCAGGAAATCTTCAAAATCGTGATAAATCTTCTTTCTATCTACTCAGCGTACGCGCAGCTAGCCACAGCAAAACACAATATTTCCTGCATCGTAGATAGAGTCGTCCCCCTCGGATCAAACTGACGTTTGTCAGAAAACAAGCAGACCCAATCTTGATACCCGATCCAGGTTGGAACTGAATAATAAACGAATTCGCTATAAAAAACACTGGCCCTACTAATTTAAAGTTTTCAAGGGTTTAGGTGTAGAATCATTGGCAAAAGAATGACTAATGGCTCCATTTGATACTCCCAAGAAATCATAAACATCAGTCCAGAGTTTTCTACCGGCATGAATTCAGTCATTTAGCTCAGTCGGTGAAGGTGCATCTACGAAGCAAGACCATACTGAAGATGGCTGAGTTCAATTCTTGCTCCGGTCCGGTTTCAGTTTGGAAAATATCTCAACTTCCCTGAGCATAGAGTATGATTGTACTTGCCACACAATTATACTAATGCAAAAATGGTACAGGCATCGAAAGCTCTCAATTTATAGCTGTGGAAGTGCATCTAAAACACTAATTTGAGAGCACACAAAATGCGATAAGCAATAAGCTTAAAATACGAAGAAGATGAAGAATGAATTTAGAACTATTAAGACTGTAACTTTCAAGACATCAGGTCGTTTTTTTATCTTGATTTTTTTTTCCGTCGGTCTTTTTTTTCTGCATGAGTATCAATGCTACCGACGGCATAGAGGCAGCACCCACATCTGGACCCTACCTATTTTTGATTCCCTGCTTCTGTGATTGATGTGATACATCTAAATGAATAGAATTAAGAACTTTGAAGCCACCATACCATGAATAGGTTTTTAAGGTTTAATTATTACAAGCGTTGTAGGACAAAAGATCGAAGAGACAAACAGTTTAAAACACTATATGCTGAATAAAACAAGTAGGCAAACCTAACTAAGACATAGCTTGGCAATTTAGTTGACATTTTCCAAAGTCATTTATCATTCTTAAGGACAAGGTTGGTTGATCATATCAGCAATTTGTGGATTCTATCAATCTTGTCATAAAAGTTGACTCTTTCTATTTAACATGTGCATTTCTTTTGAAGGTAAAAGCTAACGATCAATTCAACCCAAAATACTCAAAAGTCTTTTCCCACGCTTGGAGAGGACTCCTTCTTTAGTACATGACTAAATTAGTCCATGAGGATTCTTTCTTTAGTACATGACATACTAAATCTTTTGAATAATCCAACTGAATATGCTTAAAACTCATTTGTCACTCTTTGATATGAGCAGTTCTTTGACAGACAAAAAACTTTTGAATAATTCAACTAAAATACTCAAAACTAATTTCTGACTATTGGAGTTAACTCTTTCTTTAAAACCTGGGTTGTTATTTGGATGATGAAAGCTATGAAACATTCCAACCCAAATACTCTTTTCTTTTTCTTGGAGATTACTTCTCCCTGAGCTGTTCTTTGATAGAAAAAAAACATGAACAAATAAATAAGCATTCCTATTTCATTTATTATCGGTTTATTTCAGTCCATTTTCATGATACAGGTCGGACTTGATTATCCGAGGGATCAATTTTCCGGGCTCGATTATGCGGAGCCATTTTTTTTTCTGTGGCATTGGATTTGAGTAACTAAAAACAAGAAGCATAGGGTAAATGAAACAACCATTGATGCATTTTAAACATTTTGAGCCAATTTATGTTTGGTGGAGATAAACAAAGTGATATAGAAAGGTAAGATTACGAAGGCGTTCTGAGGTGACCAGAACATACCATCCTAAGCTGCGAGGGACCATACCAGGTGACTCATTGCATAGTTGAACATTTTATTTGAAATGCATAGTTGACAATTTTCAGCCAACTTCAGAGGCCTAGAAAACAAAGATCTCTGATCTGATGGTCTTTTGGAATATTTTCAGAGGTGGCTGGCATCATGAGACATCATCCGAGATATGTGTTTGTTTTAACTCTTTATTTGTTCCAAATTCAGTAACGTCCCAATAACGCATTTATCTAGATAAAATTAATAAATAGCAGATTTTTAGCGATGGGCCCAATCTTAGATCCATAGGCCAACATTAGAGACATTTCCCCTATATCTAAGTGTTTTTACATTGTTCCTACCTTGGCAATTCAGTATTTTAAACAGGTTTTTTAATCCTGCATGTCAGTATAACAATTGAAATCTGAAACTAAAAACTAAAACTAAATCTTATCTAAGTATACCTAACGGCGCCGGTGGTGTAGTGGTAAGCGTGATTACCTCTCACCCCAGCAGGCCTGGGTTCAATCCCAGTCGACGCCACCGGGATGTTCTGAGGCATAACATCTCTGATCACGTCTTCCTTCGGAAGGGAAGTAAAACCGTTGGTCCCCGGTTCATGAGTTGATGGGTCGATAGGTAGGGTCCAGGTGTGGGAGCTGCCTTCCTGGCACGTCGGTAGCATTGGTGCTCAGCACGGAAAACAAGATCGACGGAAAAAACAAAAAACCAAAGGTTATCTAAGTATAAAGGGAATGAATCGTTGCAATTGAGGTTTCAACGATTTTTGCCTGAAATTATTAATTATTTTGTTGGAAATTTGTTCTAAAGTCTCAACATTCGAGGCAACTTCAAAATCATCTTCAGAACATTGTTCTGAATCCTTTGAAGTGCCTTTTTCCTGGTAGTGCAACAACTAGACCATATTGGCACAGCGTAAAGCATGGCCGGTCTAAAAACTTGTTTAAATATTAGAAGTTTATTCGTCAGGCAAAGTTTGGATTTCCTGTTTATAAGAGAATACAATCATTTTATATATTTGTTTGGATTACATTTGGCTTGAATGCCCTCAATGTGATCTTTGGTCAAGTATTAGTCCAAGATATTTCACTTAGTTTGGCCATAGTGACTATGTGACTACTACTAGGTTCCAAAAAGGCAACTCTCACAGATAAAAATTCTGAATTTTAATTGTGATGTAAACATTCATTCACGTAAACTTAAATTTAATTTCACGCAACCGAGCAACTTGTAAACAATGTTGTTTACAAAGATGGGCTTTTGTAT